ACGATCATTGGACAACGAGCATAGGCATTCATAGACCAGAACATGTAAGCCCATGCAGCTCAACTAGGTAGCCTGAGTTGCACAGGGTGCCTGGGAAAAGGAATGCTATATCAGTGTGGTGCCAACCACTGAAAAGAACAGATTCTTAACAGATGCAAGGAAACATGTAAACATTCCAGAAGTCACAAAGAGGTGCCTCTTGGAGGAAGTCGAGGTGCCCCTGTCACATCCACTCACTTAGGAACCAAACACCACCCCGACTGGTGACCCCTGGTTGATCATGTATGCAAAATCAGAAGCGTCTGAACCATTTCGCTTGTCTCCGATCCCCAGGCGGAGCCTCCCCCAGGCAGGTTCCGTCTCGCGTCGGACGAACATGACCGCCGCCCTGTGGAACATGTCTCATGTGGGTGCGTGCAACCAAACCTTTGAACATCGCTTTTTCTTCTGGGCATGAAACGATGAACATGTTTCTGTGTCATTTACTTATGTTCATAAGTGTTCGGCGTCCGAACTTGTTGCTGTAAATGTGCTGCTGCGCCAGAATTTCCGTGGGGCCAAGGAAGCATGTCATTTGTACCTCAAAGGCTCAGAAAGGACCCTCAGTTCGCTGTAGGGTTTTGACATGTTTTGACCCTCACAGCCAGGGTTTTGGACCGAACCAACATGTAGCAGTAGGTTCGGGTCCATGAGCCTTTGGGACTGCAAATGTCGATTTCACGTCGTATTTCGCAGATGGAGACGACTCGACGAATCCGCCAAGATACGTGTGACCGTTTTGACTCCACAGGTCATGAGGGAGGTGTGATCTTTTTACATTCTCTATATATATATATATAATAGGTGCATGTTCAATATCGGTATATGTTGGGCGGGCCCTAATACCTGCAACAGTCAGTAATATAGACAAGAACATCAACTCTTTTAGAGAAAGGCCTGCCCGAGACCTCCGTCGGTCTCGCGTCCCGACTGTACGACTGTTCGGAAGGTCTTGGTGGCAACCGTCCAGCACCGCGCGGAATCCTGCGGAGAGCACCGCGCGGTGTTGGGAGAAGACGTGGATTATGTTATAAATTTTTATATTATATTATATACCCAGAGGCTTCATTGGACTTGAACCTCAAACATGTAGCAGTTGGTTCGGGTCCATGAGCCTCTGGGTAAAGGTGATTAAAGAGCCAGCACCTTTATTCCGGGGTCTTGCTGGAAGCCCCGGTCCTACCATCCGGGATCCCGAAGAGACACTCACCCCTTTTTTCAGAAGGTCCAGGAAATAGTTTGGGATCGTTCACACTCCCGATGTTCGATCTTAATTTTGAGATATTTTGAGACGTGCATGGCCAGTTCAGGGGTTGCCTGGGATATATCATACACCAGGGAATCCAAATGTGCATGGTTTTTTGTTCAAACACGTTCGCACAACAAATCCATGCATCGGGCCTTTTTTGTCAAATGGACAAATGTTCTGGAATTCCTCCGAATATTGGGTTTGATGGGGTTTTATCGTTTGGGTTTTTGTCGATAACATGTTGATAAAGTTTTGGGTTCCATATGGGTGCGCTTTTGTACGGTATTGTTTTTTGTCCATATGGCTAAATACGATCATTCGTTAATTAAAATGTCCATACAATAAATTCTGTCCAAATACGGCCTTCGCACCAAAAAAAAAAGGTGTTCATACGCCTTTCCAGGTATATATATATATGTGAACCAGCAGGACAAGTGATGACCCAACAAAAATGCAGAGGGAGTATAGATACTCAGAATTGTGATTTGAAATTGGAATGTAAGAAGGATGGTGGTGGCAATCTGTGGTAATTCCATGGTTGGTGTTCTCCTTCAACCCTCCCGTTGGATCAAACGTCCCTGGAGACCTTTGGGAGATCTTTGGGACGGTGGAAGCGTGTCCGAAGCGTTTGGATGGGGCTGTTGGGTGGTTGATGTGTAAAACACGTAATCAGGTTGCGCTTCTTGTCATGCTATAGCTAGCTAGCATGAAGGAACAAACGGACACGTGTCTCAACATGTGGGCAGAACACGTCAGTCGTCGCGCGTCAAATCACCGACCCCGGGTCAAACCCCACGTCGCTCACCACATCGCCCAGGTTGGAGCTCAATGTGCCCGAGGCGCCGTGGTTGTGCCGTCGCGACCGGTGTCGGAGAAACGCGACCCAGCTCAGCTTCAGAGTCCCATCCATTCGACCTCAAACGCGACCGGACCTGTGGTCGACCCAAGTTCGGTCACAAGGACGAACCAAGCAGAATCGTCCGAGACTCTTGCAGAGGACCCACCTTCCGACTCATTCGGTTTTGCAAGTTGGGAGTCGTACCGATCGGGTGGGCAGAAAGTGTCATGTTTGTGGTCGGGTGTTTTCATGATCCCCAGTGATCTCACGGATGATTTGCTGGGTGGAGGTTTCAGATACTTTTGTTTTCAACCCTTACTTGGTACCGTATGATTGAACCATATTGAACCACTGAATAACATGTCTTTTTCAATCGAGTTGAAACTGCCAAGCAGTTTGGGGATGTGAAATAGAGTGGAATTTCAACCTCCACGTCTTGACACCTTCAAGCCAAACTAACCGTCCGAAAACAGGAACATCCAAGATCTCACTGTAGCCCGGAGGATTCTCCCTTCATTCCCCATCCTAGGAGAAACAAAGGACCCTCCATCGCTTCAAAAGTCCATCGTAAAAACCGGGACCTTTCTCTCCTCCCTTGGCCCTTGGCTAAGCATCTTCCCACATGAACTGGAAAACGGCATGCGCATGCGAGTGCTTGACATTTGCCTTTCAGAGATCAACCAATTTGTTTTACTTCGCCGTATGGGCTGAACACAGTGGCACTTTATTCTTGCTACATCAACCTGCCTGGCACTACCTGGCCCTGTCTGGGCCTGTCTGGCCCTAGGTTTGTGACTCGGTCGCTGATCGCTTCTTGGGTCTGCATGGCATGGATCTCTTCGATCTCCTGGGAGTCGTAGGGGACCTGAGAGAGCTCCACCGGGCACGCCGCGGGCGTGCCGCCGCGTGCGAGTCGTGAAGGTGCCGCCACGTCACGAAACCCACCGGAGATGAAGACGTTTCGCTGAAGGTGAGGTTGGTTTTTCTTTCGCTGGGGCAGAAGGAGTTGGCCCAGATTGGTCAGACTTTTCCTCCTGATTCCTTTGCTTGATGGAAAAAGTGTATGGTTCCAACGCGTTGATGGTGTTTTTTGGTGTCTTTGACTTTCGCAGCTTTTCGCATGGGGCAGAAGATAGATCAAGAATTGCAAGTGGCCTTAATAGGAAGCGAAAACCGGAAACGGACCAACTTCTTCACGTCTCTTACCTTCCGGCCCGGTCCGAAGGTGCATCGACCCTATAGAGCAGCTTACAGTACGTAAGTATACCCTATACAAGTCCAGTTTGACCCAATCAAACCTGGTCCTTGACCTCCCTGAGTAGTGTTTTTGGTATGACCAACGAGGTCATTGACCTGTAGGGATAGGTTACAACATGTTACAACTAAGTGGTTCCAAAGTCTAAAACCGTGGTTCCTTTGGCTGTGTCAGGGCAGGCCCCTGTTGGGCCCGTGATCCCGGCACCGACCTGGCAGAGGGCTGAAACGGTTCTGACAGCCGTCGTGTGGCCGTGAGTCCACTGCCCAGTGGACTGAAGCGAATGAATTCGAAGCTACTCATGCGTCTTGACGAAGCTACTTGAGCCCAGCCCATGCTTCCTGGTCACAGAATGGGGCGAAACCATGCTTTCACCCTGCAGATTTTGGAACATTCCTGAGTTGACAGGACCATGAACAACAAGAGTTGGCCCTGGTCAAGATCAAAACTGCACTCTTAGTTGCTTGATGGGATCATGTATAGACTTATAGACATATTGGGTTGCTTTATGTTGCTAGCTTGTAACATCCGGGAAACAACACGTCCATTTTGGGGGTGTGGAAAACAAGATATCCTCTTCATTCTCACCTTGGACGGTTTCGATGGGAGTGGAGTGGGCACTCGCTGACTCCGAAGCCTGCGGCAGTTGGCCGACCAGAAGTGGAGAAGATCCATGTTTCCCACCCAAAAAGTGGACCAGCCCGAAATGCCACTGCCAAGAAGCCGTTTCGCTAGCTGCGTGTTCCTTCGCAAGGTGAAGGATTGCGTGAGTAACGGCTGGGTCAAGGACGCATCTTCGCTTGCGTCATACTTGGGTCGTGTCGCCCTGTGCGTCCATGAAAATGCCGGTTCATCTCTAGAAACCAGCCAAGTTCGGCAGAACTGCGTATAGATCCAGGTCTATAGATCCAAGTATACCAGAACCTTCGGGCCGTGAGATTAGACGTGACCTGTGTGCAGACCGGTCGAGTCTGTTGACCTCGCTTCGGACCCTCCAGTCAAGGAGACCCTCCAACCAGGATATTCTAAGGGTTTCTCAGAGATGTGTTTTTTTGTTGGGGGGGACTCCCTAGTCTATAAGGGATTACCATTTTTGGTTCATTTGGCTGAGGTGCACCCAGAATTGGAAGAACTTGGTGACGGTTTTCCTTCGACTGGAGGTCTTTCCGGTGGCCATGCTAGCCATCTCACTTCCTTGTTCTTGTTCATGACACGTCAACACAAACATGCTGCGGCTAGAAATATCTAGAAATGATAGAAAGTTAGACATGCATTTTTTCAAGCCGATGGCGTACATGACGTAACTTACGCTAAGTAATTGGCGAGATTATGTCAGTTGTTCGTGCTTCTGGTACCCTGCAGCCATTCCATTCCGAACTTTTTGCGCAGATTGGATCACGCAAAAAGACCTATGGGACAGGAGACTAGACCGTCCAAAATCGGGCAGCATTCGGTGACAGTGCTTGTTGCCACTGTCTTGAACCCAGAGATGAGCGGTAGAGAGTTGCTCTCAGAAAGACATATCTTCTCGACACATAGTCTATATATAGACTAGACACTAGACACCTGCTTTGAGGTGCGTCCTCATTTTACGCCAGAGAATCCCCCCTCACACTTACTTTTTTGCCTACCTGGCCTGGTCCCCCATGAGACTGGATAACTGGCTGATTCACGCATGGCGCGCTGGCGGGTGGTGGGTGGCCAAGAGAAAGGTTTGATCGTACGAAGCTCGGCAGAGGTCTCCTCCCAACAGCCCCTTGGCGGTGGGGGCTTTCTGAAACCGATTTTAGCTTGGACCTGGAGAATTCTAGAGTGAGAGGCTCATTGGACCCTCAGTTCGCTAAGGGTGAAATGACCCTCACAGCCAGGGTTTTGGACCGAAGGAACATGTAAGCAGTTGGTTCGAGTCCATGAGCCTCGGGGAGTCTCTTTGTTCGACCCAACTGGAATACCGGCCCAGTGTTCCTTAAGATCGGCCGTTTCGGGTCAACTTCGGCCGGCCTCCAGGGCCAAATCGGCCGTTCCGGGGGGTCCGGAGAGGTCACGAACATCGGACGTTCAACTTCCGAACATCACTGGACGAACATCACTGGACGTTTTCTCTACATGTTGCATTAGTCCTCTACCTGGACCTTCAAGGGGTGTCCAATCGAGGTCCCTTAGTAGTGTAGGGGCTTCCAGCCAGGTGACCCCTTTGAAGGTGCTGGTACATGTCCTCCACATGTCCTTGGTTCCTACCCTCGGGAGATCTGAGGCTAGGGCGGCTTAACTATGGAGCTGAGGTCGAGGTGCGATGCCAGGGTGGAATCCTGTCAGACACTCACCCCTGGGGTTTTCCAGTTGGAAACAGGTCGAAACTCCACTTAAAGAAGATTCTTCAATGATAGACCATATGTTTGCGATGATCCATGTCGGACGCCTGGCGCACGGATGGTCCTGGTCCAGTGTTTGGCCCCTCGCTGGATAAGTCGTCGTTCACGACGATGGGACGGATCAAACTGGGAGATTCGCCGGGGTTGGTGTTCTCCCGCGGCGAAAAAATCAGAGGTTGAAGAACCCTAATTAGGTACAGACGACTACCCCATATATGTTTAAGAATTGTTTATATTATATATATATATAGAGGTACCCCTGCAGGGTGCTCTAAGGTCACTTAACCTCCCATCGGCGTGGACTTCACTTGGCTAAGCTGGCTATGCCGCACTCCCACGTCCGAAAGCGAGCGGAGTTGGGCCCTGATCCTTCACAGGTATTGGAGATTTTCAACATGCTTGGGGGAATGTCCGCATCATGATTTATCAAGAAAAGGTCGTGATCAAATGAACAAAGCCCCATGTTCCGCCAGATCTTTTAATGATTTTTAGCCTTCCCCTGTTTTTTTTTCCGCTGAACGTTCCGCTTCTCATCGCAGGAGTTGCAGCTGCTCGGGGAGCGCCTGGAGTTCCAGAAGGTGTCGGGCGATGGAGTTGAGCGTGGCTGGGTGAGTCTGAGACTCAAGGGGAAGGAGAACTCATCGATCCCGAGCCGCCGGACAGTCTCGGACGGGACAGGCCGGTCTATTCCGGAGTGGTGCGGAGTTACACCGGGGCCGGTTCCGGTGTGGAACTTGGTGCAAGTGACTGCTGAGACAGAACTGGAGAACTTTCTGTCTGGTCTCGTGACTGGTGGGACCCAGGAGTTGTTGACGCCCTGTGGCTGGCAACACCTGCGTGGCTGTTCCATCGGCCCGTTCCACGCGCATGAGGAGGGAGCGGAGAAGCGCATGGGGGGTCCGCAGATTGGTGGCCCACGGTCACGTGGCTTGCCATGTCATGGATCTCCATGAGAGTGCAGGTGGAGTAGCAGATGGTATCTGGCTCCATTCGGAACCCATGTTCTAGAATTTGGCTGGGTCAATTCATGCAGTGAAGGTGGTTTCAAGCATGGGCAGCATGGTCCTCTAAAGGCCAAGCCAAGTATGGTGTCAGCAATCAGGACAGCCATACTTTGCACAAGACAGGCCTCGGTCCAAATACATGTTGTATTCTTTCGCCTGCCGTAGGTGTTTACAAAGACTTGGACAAAGTTTTTTTCCAACACATTTCTTTTAGATTTTAGAGTGTGTGTGTTTGTGTGCAAGTGGAAAGACATCCAGCAGTAGTTCACAAAACCTTCTAACTTGAAGGCATCGGAGCGAATCATTCTTTTTGTTGGGCCTGAAGTGACGTATAGGCTGACTGGGTATGACTGGGTATGACACAATGACCAAGCCACTTTTGTTTGGTGTGCACGGGGTGGCTGTTCTCAAGGGTGAGGAAGATAATCACTCTGCCAGAACTGGAACATGCTTGAGTTTCAATGTTCTTATGCGCATGCCCCACACTCCAAATCTTCTTTTTGGATGGACGTGGCTTAGGAAAGCATGATCCCGCGAACTTTCATTTTTCCACAAGGGGTGACAGTCAGATCTCAATCACATTCAATCGCCAATCAAGTCGTCGTGGTTCAACCACTTGAACCCTTTCCATCTTGCCATTTCATGTGAAACGTCAGACCATGTCAGACCACTTGGTTTTGGCTCCATCCGTGGGGAGGAGAAGGTCACCACCGTGGCCTTCGACCCGGTAACACCGCTGCAGCTGTGGACGGCCTCCTGGTCTTCGGCCTCGGCAGCGTGGATGGAGAGGGGCAGATGGGGAGAGTGAAGGGCTGGGATTGGAGGGATGGTCTGGTGGAATTTGGAGAAGGTGGGGTGTTTTTCGCCTGAACATGTATACATATGTGAGTATCAGGTCACAGGGAACAGAGCATCGTTCTCAGTCCCGCAACCAATGTGACTGCAGTTTTCTGGCCTACATTTGATGGTTTTGGTGGTGAATGTAGGCCTATGTAGGCCATCTTTGCAGTCCCATAGGGCCTTCCCTGGGATTGATTTGGAACAGTACGTTTGGGGCGCCGGTTTCGGGCGTAGCGGTCGACCTTCTGGTTTCGGATGTGATTCATCCCTTCTTGTCGAATCTTCACATTGGTTTGGAGTTCTACATGGCTTTGGGAACGGTTGGAGTAATCAGGTGATGGAAGTTGAAGCAGCATCGGGCTTGGTATGGAGAAGATTGGACCCTGTCTTGGCACACTCATGCACAAATACGAGACCTATATCCAGGTTTGACTCCACCACACTTCTCCAAGTGTGACTCCATCCGACCACAGCGTGGGCAGAGGTGAGGCATTGGCAGCTGGCACGGCACCAGCAGCCACAGTTGGTCAATCAGCTCAAGACTCATGGACTCGTTAGCGCGCTCCAGCGCCTCGATCAGGACGGATGCGTGATGAGTCGTGACTCATGTGACATATGTCATGCCGCAAAGATGCGGAGCCTGTGATGTGCTTGGTTTGTGCCCCGATTTTGCGGGGAGTGGTTGAGAATTAGCACACCAAGGTGGGATGACATCACAAAAAAAAGCAGCGAATTTAGACATACCAGGGTTCCTGCTCTTTAGGGGACAAGTGGTTGGCTCTAGAGTTGCTGTTTTTTGCAGGTTTGCCCTTCCACTGCTCAGCACAGGACACGCTGCTCACGGCCATCTCTGCCAATCCGATGCCTGCGGGGAATGTGTGTCACCAGGCGCATCGCCGGCGCTCCGTCTTTGGGGCGCAGAGTATGCTCGAGCGCTCAAGTAGACGGGGAGGTGTCCAAATGGTGGGACTAGCCTGCCTCCAAGACAAGAATCATCAAGAATCATAGCGTAGACGGACAAGACAAGCCTTCCAGAGTCCAATGTTCGGACTGGGAAGCGAGGACGTCACCCTGCCGGGACGGAAGCCGTTGCTCACAGCTTCTCTTTTTGGCCGAGTCGATGGCCCAGAACCACTGGCACCCCAAGAGGCTGTTTGGATGTGGGTCCATATATAATACCCAAACACTCCATGTGTGGTGTATTTACCCCTTTTCAACCACCCCAATGTATGTCAATATGCCATACATGCAGTGTTTGGGATATAAACCCCCACCTGTTTGACGGGAATTGTGCCATTCACTGTCCATCCGCTGGCTTTGAAGCACATTTGTGACCTCAACAGATCGCCTGCGACAGATGAGATCTCGCTAATTTCCGTGTTTGAATTGTGGTTCTTATCGGCCAGTCAAAGCAACAGGCAGATTTCAAGCAGCGCATGGCCGAGCTGGATGATAAGTTAGAGCCCGGACAGCAGCTGGTGCTGTGGCGACTGGATCCGCGCCCCGAAATGCCGCTGGAGCCCAAATGGTTGGGTAAGTTGGCCCTGGCCAATGATCAAACGAATGCGAATGTGCTTAGCAGGGCCTAGGCTGGTGTCTAATCATAGCCCAGATGTTAAGAGGTCCACTAATCACCCCTCTATTGGGGCCCTGGTAGTTTTCAGGAAGTGATGGCGTTCCTGTCGGACGGGGTGGGATATGGATGATGGCGTTCCTTGTTTGGTGGAGTGCCAAGGACCTGCATGATAGAAACACAGAGGCACCCAAAAAACCATCACACCAGATGTCATTGCATCAGCCTTTTGTTTACCCCAGACCCCTCCATTGTAGGGTTTGACTTTCCTTTTGAAAGTGAAATGACGAGTGAGTGCAGTTTGCCCTCCAACAATCTGCACGTCGACATTGAGTGGTCTTATTTCCACCAGATGAATGTTAAAGATACTTCAGAAAATGACAGTACCAACCTTCATGCTGAGGGAAAGAAACCGAGCCCCCCCCATATTGCTTTAACTTCTCCACCCACATTCCTTCTGAACATCTTTTCTCACAGACCTGGTCCATTTGAGTGGGTCTTTGAGTAGGACAACCTTTCTATCTTTTCTTATCCTCAAATCACGTCACACACCTCTACAAACCTTCTCATCCTCAACCCCCATTCCCAGCCTGTTTTCTCGTCGTTTCGTTGCCGGAGGTGGAAACAGCTGCCCTTCCACCCGCACGGCTGCCGCCTTTTAGCCGTTGGCCCCGGGAATGAGCTCGTGGCTTCGGCATCCAAGGAGCGGCTGGTGCTGAGCCATCGGAGCGGTCCTGGGGCGCCCCTGGAGGCATCGCTGCGGCCGGAGAGAGTTTGGTAGGTCACCAGTGGTAAGGGTCTTTTGGTCAACTGGTCAGGTTTGTTTCCGAACTTGAGATCCTAAAGAAAATGATCAGCCTTGACAAGGAGCAGTCGTTAGCAGTCGTTTGTGGCTCACACAGCTCAGCAGCGTTCGGCAAAAAAGTCTAACCGCTGCATGGCCGCTTAGAGAGCCAGGTGCTTTGGAGCGTGCACTTGGAACAGAAGCTGACAGCGCTTTGCTTCACAGAGACTGGAAGCCTTTGGAGCTGTAATGGGCAGCATGTGACCTGCTGGGAGGACATCGGGAATGCGAATACGAAACATGGCGAGATACGGCGAGGATGGAGGCGGATAGGATGGCGGATGTTCGATGTGAAATCAATCTCGTCAAGAGTTTCGTCATCCCTTTTGGAGGTTCACCTGCGGTTTCCTGCCTCTGGGCTAGATTCGCATATCTATCAAGTATTCCCTTGATTCGGCTGCCCTGTCGCACAAACTTATAGTCCACCTCCTAAAAGCCAAGACTTTGGCGGCCTGTATATGGCCCATCCAGAGATCAACAACACCCTGCCACTGTTCCCAACAATTACCGGCATATGTATACACATCAACGACAGCGCAGAAGCAACAACATTAAAGATAAAAAACATGATGGAAATTGATGGAACATCTTGCATTGCTCACATGTTGCTCACATATCAACAGCTCATATAGGACCTTCGTTCCCACCTTGCGAGCTCGGCGCTTGTCGCCCGCTCGCTCGCGACCAGGAGGGAAGGACGAAGAGCTCCGTGGAGATCCAGGCGGCCCCGGTGGAACGTCACATGGATCCGCAGGTGTTTCTTTTTTCTCGGAAAAGGACGACCGGATGGAACGAAAAGGACGATGATTGAGTTCTCTTTCAGGAAGTAGTCAGGGGCCCCTTTTAGCCCTGGTAGTCTTGGTAGTCTTGGGCGGCAAAAAACCCCTAAGTCTGAAGAGGTTTGACCATCCAGGCGGTTGGTGTCACTATGTGTGAAGGGAACAGTTTAGCAGCAGTGTAGACGGTTTATGTCAACCCCCAAGCCTGAAGAGGTTTCATTGTCCGTTATAGCCAAGAGGTTCACAAGGAAGCATCACTTGAAGCTAGATTCCGGTAGTCATCCAGCATGTTTATGCATTACAGTTACAGCAGTAGTTATACAGCCTATATGTTCTAATCTTGTGAGTATCCCATGAAGGTTTCTCGATCACCGAAATCCATCATGAACATTAATCCAATATGGGATCCGGCCGATCGTTTCAGGAGTCCGGGCTTGGTCCGGGTTTGTAGGACCGACTAGACGTCCTGTTCCAAACCCATCCGAATCGGTGTAGTCATTGGACGTCAGGGTGGACATGGGTCCCGACTCGTCTCGCCGGTCTTCGGCAGACCTGGAGCACGATGGCCTCCATGAACACGGGTGGGGTGGAGGCCTCCTCCAAGCCAAAAGTGCAGCAAGATTGTTGGAGGTAATCCCTACCCGTTGCCATGTGTCCTGGTATGATCCGAACGCGCGCATTTTGGGCGGGCATTCTCCTCCCCTGAGCAGCCCTAAGTGGATTTTCTTGGAGTCGAGGTTCCACGCACGTGGAAACTCCGCTAAATCGAGCATCATGACTTCAAATGGGGCTCCATTTGCACCGTGACCCGGCCGTCTAGCTACACATGCTGCTACACTCCATGATGCATCAGCTTTGGGTCGAATCACCCCACACCTGACCACAGGTGGATAATGTCTCAGCGTTGGTCGCGCTCCAGGATGAGCCGCTGGACCGGACTGTGGGTTTGGGCTGGACATCTCGGTTGTCTGGAGGCGGCTGATGTTTTTCTACCCAGACGTGACCCTGGACCCTCATAGGGGTTTGGGGTCGAACCACGTAGGATTAATCAACTTCCCTCCCTTCAAGGTCAAGACCGTCAAAATGGTTTGAGATTGGAGGCATCCCTCTAATAAAGGTGATGACCCGATGATGGATGATGAGGTGATGACCTAGACCTGATGATGATGGATAATGGTTGATGGGATTCTGTTTGAACCATGAGAGGTGTGTGAGCAAGTGTCCAATCAGTGGTTTGATTGGGAAGATTTGGATGAGAAGAAAACTGAACGGGGAAACCCTGGCAGTCCATTTCGTGTGTTTCTTTTCATTTTGGGGGCTCGAACTGGGTTTGATTATATATGGGGAGGTTGGTTAATCCATGTTAATCCTATGTCAACATTAACATGGACCCTGAGAATGGCACCCTCAAAAGACTGTTTTCCTCTACAAACCAGTGCTTTTTTCCAGGGTTCATGTTAGTTTTCAGGGGGGCAGGCCGGGGTAGGCGTTATTTGTCCTTTTGCGCCCTCCCCACCTTCATGTTACGTCACGTGCCTGCGAGGCTGTTGATTGCTCACGAAACGGGCTTCTTGTTTCTGGATGTGGGCACGGGCCAGATCCGCCAGCAGCCACTGGTCGAGGGTCCTTCAGTCTTCGATCGACTCCTTCGATGTCGGTCAAGCGGTTTGAATCCAAAGTTCATTGAATGGTGACCTCCAACCACCAGCAGTTCCAAAGTTGCCATTGTCAGAATTAGGCGCCCCAAAACTCCGGCATGCCTGAAACACATTGCACCCCGGAATTCCTCCAAGAACTATACCTTCCAGACCACTTGCAGAGATGTTCTGGGATGCTCATCTATTTGGCTGAATTGGATGCTTTGGAGGGCTCAGTATTTGGGACACACCCGGACAAAAGCATCAGTGTTTGTTGTGCTATTCCTTCGACAACAACCTCTCACCTTGCTTTTCACCATGGACACATTCAGCCAAACGAATCTCTCTTCGGACCTGCTGCGGACCTGCGAAGAGCAGGTCGTCAGTTCTCCACTTCACCGCACCCTCAGGTACACCAAGGACGTGGTCTCCGCCGCCGCGCGCCTCGGGCAGAGCTTCGTGGCCGCGCTGGGCGCCCACGTCGTGCGCTACGACGTCGTGCGCGGACTGGGGCCGTCGCCGGCGAAGGCGTCGGGGTAACTTGGTGGGAAAGGGTTTGTGAGGCTGGAAGAAGCGGAGATCTAATTACTGATGGTGGAGGATGGTGGATGGTGGCAGATGGAGATGTAATCTTGAGGCAGATGGAGATGGATGGTGGAGGCCTAGGAGAGGCCCAGGATAGGCCTCCAAGTTTGGAGGTCCGTGTCGAACGAATTGCCTTCTCAGTACTTCGCGAGTGTGGAGTGGTCCATTGGTGACCCGTTGGAAGCAGCAAGCGGCAACGCTAAACGGCGGCGAAATTGCTTCAGTCCATTGAGATCCATTGAGTATCTCTTCCGGTGGGGCTCCAAAAAAAAAACTTCGTGAAGGGGGGCATGCTGTGTGAATGAAGCATTCCAGGTGCTCCTAGTTGATCCATGTTGATCCTACAAGCTTGTCATGCAAATTAATAGGACCTTTTTGCAGTCCCATGTGTTCGCGTTATTCTTTTTTTATCCGGACCCCACTTGATGCCAATTGTTCGAACATGCTCGAGCAGAGACTCGCAGCTGAACCACACGCAGTCACCACACGCAGTCCCGCCAGGGTCGACGGTCCCCTGGTACGACTCCCGCGTATTAAAAACAGAACACACTCTGACAATTGTATTCAGTTAACTCAGTTACCACGATGGGAAGGATGGAGAAGAACCGCAAGGTGAAAGGTCCGAAAACTGAGACGATCGGTCACTCGGTCGGCGCAGCGCGGCAGCAAAACGGCTGTAAGGCTGTGGTGGGTTTGGGGGTAGCATGAAGAACCATGAAAACAACAAAAGAGATTGGACAGCTTGTGCAAAAGTTGTTGCAGGTACACACCAAAGCGTCCTTTGGTGCTTCCCCTGCCACATCCCAGCTTCGTTGGGCCAGGTTGGATGTGACAGGCCTGGCCCCCCTGCTAGTGAAAGAAGTGGCAGTGGAGGTCATGAAAGGAAACCCTTTGACCAGGGGGCGACACACACACAGGTCGCCGTCGTCGGCGCTTTTTCAAAAACCGGTGGCAGGCTTGGTGGTTGTGTCCTTTTTGACACACTCCGCCGCTTTGCGGCTCTCTGGCATAAAACGGAAAGTAGTCACCTAAAAAGCCTTAGAAACAAAAGAAAGGAAAGACAGAAAGAGCAGCGCTAAGAGGGCAAGAAAGAAAGATAGGTGTAGAAAAAATGAATACTTAGCCCTTGACTGGGGTAGGGAAACGAGCCTGAAGAACAACCTAAAAAGCCTGAGAGAAAGCCCAACAAACGACGGAAAGCGCAAGAAGGAAAGTGGGGGGGCAGGGAGGGGATGTATGTGCATGTGTGTGTACATGTGTGTGTGTGTCTGACTACCTAGCTCTCTAGAGTTACTGAATACTTAGACGAAAATAATTACGTGCAGTAGTTAGGGAGCGGGACTTTAGTCTTAGACCGCCCGGGTAGAGAAGACTAGAACAGGAACAACACAGGGAAAGGCACCGACACACAAGTGTGTCGAGTACCATTTCCCTATGTTGCCCTAATTAGGTGGGGAGTAGAACTCGGCGGGCGGGGGGGGGGTGGGGAAACCTGCCTGATTGGGGTACCGTTTTTAAGCCTGGCGGCTATGGAGACCCGTGGTAAGGCCCGGCGGCCGTGGTAGCGGTTGATTCCGTGGGAGTGTAGGTGAGTTCCAGTGAGGTTCCTGTGAGCGGTGGTGAGTTCAGTGAATGCTTTCCCAATGAAACAGCGCCCCAGTGACGGGGATCACACTCAGCACCCGAGTGGGACGGCTGAGCGAAACACACTCTGACAATTGTATTCAGTTAACTGAGTTACCACGATGGGAAGGATGGAGAAGAACCGCAAGGTGAAAGGTCCGAAAACTTGGTGTTTCAAAAATTGTTCAAGTCTGCAGAGACGATCGGTCACTCGGTCGGCGCAGCGCGGCAGCAAAACGGCTGTAAGGCTGTGGTGGGTTTGGGGGTGGTAGCATGAAGAACCATGAAAACAACAAAAGAGATTGGACAGCTTGTGCAAAAGTTGTTGCAGGTACACACCAAAGCGTCCTTTGGTGCTTCCCCTGCCACATCCCAGCTTCGTTGGGCCAGGTTGGATGTGACAGGCCTGGCCCCCGTGCTAGTGAAAGAAGTGGCAGTGGAGGTCATGAAAGGAAACCCTTTGACCAGGGGGCGACACACACACACACACACACACACTTTTGGGCGTTGGAATCCCAACATTTCTCGCAATCATCATGGATCCACCATTTGAAGACGCTAGTGACAGATAATTTCTTGGTCGGTGACACGGTGATGCTTGCCCACCAAATGCGTTATAAGTTATAGCACTCCTGAAGATGGTTGGGTCCTTTTTTGTGGGCATCGCAGAAGTTCAAAGAGACCTCCTTTCACCTCTTGGCCCCGCCACCGCTGACACGACACACATACTTCTTCCTCTCTCCGACGAAGAAAGACAGCGTAGAACCGAAGTCGGCTGACTTCAGGATGTGGACTTTGCCGCAGAAGGTGGTGTCTCTCCATTGCCTCGGTGCGGTCGGTGCTCCTCCTCTCGTGGCCGCCGGCGCTGCGGATGGAACCGTGGTCGTATTCGATGCCACATGAGTGTCGAAAAGAGAAAAAAAAGGGGGCGCTTCGGTCTGACGCAGCCAGGTCTGACCCCTAGAAACTAGTCGTGCCTTCTCAGGTTCGGTACGACTGGGCCCTATACATGTCTCAGTGTCGAACACATCACCGTACCTGAGGTTCGGTACGAAAACGGATCTCTATAGGGGACCATGAGGGTCTCCAAGTTCTGAAGTCCATGATGGGAAGGAAGCTGTAGCTCATGAGCAAACATCTGGGGTAGTCAGATGCAATTAGCACCCTTCAGAAATCCTAACATGGATCCTGACAATTCGATTCAGGTTCCATTTTCATCTTCCAGAGTGCAATGGTTCTCGCAAGTATATGATTCATATGCCCTTGTAAGGTTGATGGACCTCATGGAGGAAACCCCTATAGCCTATACCAGCTAACTAATCCACATCAAACCACACCTCACGTTTGGTGTATTGTGAAGTGGTGATTGTTTCTCTTTTTGCTGGCCTTTGTGGCCCCTGAAAAACCGGGCCCCTGCCAACCGAAAGCGGGCTGCCAACCGCTCACACTCCCTTCGCTCTCCAGGAGGAGGAGATTGATATGTCCCACGTCCAGGAGACCATCGCGAAATTTGAAGCGACCTTCGAGTCGCCCAAGGCCACGTGCCTTGGCCTGTTCGGACAGCTTTGCCCTCGGGGAGTGAAGAAGCGGGAGCGGAAGTGGGAAGCGGCGTTGGTCCACGGTTTTGGGAAGCGGGAGCGGGCGGGGCATCGATCAAAGTTCTGGGATTGAGCCAAGAACCCATGAATCATGATCTACCAACCTACCAGATTTGGCGACAACATTGTATATAAATATACATATATAATCATATATATTATTATGAATGATTTTTTTGGGAGGTTGATGGAAGGCCAACAATAGAAAGTGACTGTCAGGTCCGTCATCGCAACTTGCTGTCTAACTTGGATGCTTCCGAAGGAAGACCTCACGCGGCGGACAAGGGTATTGGTGACACATGTCACATGTATGTCAAGACTCTGCGGGTTTTCATGGGAACTCAGTTGCGAAATGCATGTCGATATTCCCAATGACATTTCCACTAGGAAATGCCCGGGCTTAGGTCCCCTAGATTTTTGTCCTAGGGGGGGGCGTAGGGAGCAACTTTTATAGACTGAGTCAGTTGATGCCCTGGCATGTTCTAAATAAATGGGCAGATTAAATGTTTTGCCGTGTAAACGTTTTGCAGTGTATTTTTTCATGTATTTTAGGGAGGTGATGATAGGTGATGCTTTGCATTTTCTAGGAGGTTTTGAGGAAACAGTGCAAGAACCAAAAATGCATTGTCTAGGGACTCGCAGACAGTTGTCTAGGAAAAGCAGAGAGGGAAGAAGAGAAGGACATCTTTAGCTGATATTGCATTTTGAAGCATTGAGCCGCAGTTTGATAGACAATTTGTTCTACTAGAGAATGACGATTGGATGCCTGAGCAGGTTCCTAGAAAATCTGGGATGTCCATCCATTTTTGTTATGCAGCTGTCGATGCTCTCCTAGCTTCGTTTTGCTTGCTGATGATTTAGATGCTGAACCTGGACAGAGGATTTCTAGGGACTATTTTGATCTACTGTAATTAAATCTATGTTGGAAGGTGTCATTTTTGGTCCCCACCTTGAATTCTAGTGATTTTTTTGCTGAATGCACCATTTTCTACCCCAAGACACTTGGCTTGTAACCACACCTAGAATCCTAGAAAATCTGACGGCCCAAGTTCTCCATGAAATATCGGATATGTCGACATCCCAACAGGTTTTGACATTCTACAACTCCGCGGTATGGTCGGTCGTCACTGTCTTGTGGGTCATGGTCAGTCAACTCCGCGGGTGACTGGGTACCTCGCCCACCTCGCATGACCGCAGACCTCGATTGACGTCTCCATGTGTTTCCCGAAAACCGCCTCCACGGGCTCCATGTCGTGCCCGAGTGAGTTTCGGCACGTGGGGATCCAAGTCTGCCCTGTCTCAGGCGCCTGTCTGCCCTGAACAGGTGGCCGGTTCACAACCCCCAAGTCTGACCCAGGGATGGTGCCTGGAGGCCCTCCACCAAGTAGGAACATGGGGCCCAGTGGTAACCCCTACAGTACTAGGGTCTCCTGCTTCGGGTGTCTAATCCTAGCCCCTTAGAGGTTGAAAGTTGACGGGTATTCATCAATCATCCCAAACCGAACGGGTTTGGTAGAAATGTTGGACGTGTCACGCGCCGAGTGAACGATATAAAGTTTGCCTCACGAGGGGTTTGTTCATGCTTGCCAACGCTGGTCGGAGTTTTGGGGGCAACCTCCGTTCCTTTTGTACCGATGCTCCCGACCCCGCTGCGGCTTGCCGCTGTCTACCAATTCTCAGCTCAAGTCATGCCGAGAAGTCAGCAAATCACCCGCGGACCAGCTCGATCCGGACGCACAGAAAAAGGGGAAACGCAATCACTGAGGCCGGCCCCCAGTGTTGCGGGTCTCTCCGTGCAAGACGCCACAGACTCAGAAAAGGAAGGTATCAGAGTAGTCGGCGGCAAAAGGACTCAGAGTAGTCATGCATTTTGACGCCGTATAGGCAGTATCTATCATCTTATAGTGATCCTCAAATAGATAGTCGCACAGCTTCAAGTACGTTTTTCTACATGGGGATCCACAGTAACGTGTTGTTCAAAATTTGGATCGGACGGTTCGATGGCCTGACGTGATGTTTTGATTTGAGCGTCAAGTCACTGGCAACTACCCTTTGTTCCCTGCTTGTTACCATAATATCCAACGAACAAGGACACCAGCGGAACCAGCGACCAACGAGAACCCTGCTGATAACCTTGCCTAATTGTCTCACCACGACAACTCCCTAGTTGCGAGCAACCTGTTTGAGGAAGGCGTACGCGGACCTTCCAACGGCGCACATTTTTACATACCGGGGGCATTCTTTGAGGGAACATGCAATGTCCTCCAAAACTTAAACAATGCCATTTGCGGGTGCAAACATGTGCTCAAAAATCCATGGACGGGGAAGACACCGTAAGGACGCCTCAAAACGCCTAAGGTTCTCACCTCGCTACCACCAAATTTACCGGTCTCCGCTTGTCACGACAACAGCCCCCAACCAAAGAAAGACACCGTTTGAGGAAACGACTCCTTGCAACGACTCCGTAACGGCAGTGGGTCCTTAAACTGAACAGGCCGTAACTGTAACATTGTGCCGTTTTGAACCTCCAGGCGCTTCTCCCAAAGTCCTTCTCCCCAAACAGGCCATAGAATTGAAACAACATTTCACTTCTTCGGATGTTTTTGTTAGGGGCATCGAATCTAACTTCATGCAAAATGGTGAAAAAAGACCCTTCGCACCAGATTCTGGTTGATCCGAAAAGGGGGGGGCCCGAACCTCCCGTTTCGGAGCGGTCCAGGCACCCCAGTCGTTCCATACGCCCAGTCACTGGCCAAGCCCCGCCCGGGACCGAGCAAGTGAACGGGAGGAGAACCGAGTCGATCTGGGCAGCGGAACGAGACCAAACGGAAAAAAAAAGGAGAAAACAGAGTTGTTAGATGGTTGGAAGGGTTTTTGAGTGTTTTTTGAATGGTGCTTTCGGATGATTTGCGGGGATGACCAGGTGTTGGATGACCAGGTGCAAAGTAAATCAAGATGACTGGACGTTCAGAGTGGCCGAAGCGTGATTTGCGCGCTAGCAGAAAAAACCTTAAGCCTTAAGCCCTGTTCAGGTCTTGATGAACAAGACCCACGAGAAACACTAGGAGAGGAAGGAGATTGCCGGGCAAAACATGATCGAAACATATCGAAAGCTTCCACCGGTTGAAGGCCATCGCCATGTCCCAAGACCAGCCTGTTCGACCGTTTTTCCACTCCGTTGATCCAGGCTTCGTTCCAAACAAATCGCCACCGTGCCCATGTCGCGGTTCACCTGATCGATATGGCTGAAGAAAGCGGCCGAGACGTGACGAGGGGCTGTGAAACAGCCACAGCGTTGGAGGCCTTCAGATCCATGGGATTAATTAGCGTAATTCGTTCCAAACATCCATAACACCATAGAGGCCCAAACACACCAGCTTTTACCATTTGAACTGCCGCATGTCATGAGGAAGCTCCTGGTCTGGTGTTTTCACCTAAAGGCCTTTCTACAAACCACGAAGCCGCGTTGACAAGCTGCCCCCCCAAAAAAGGAGGCTGAAAACAAACGGAGAGGCTGATTCGGTAAAGATCTTCTCCCTCTTGATGATCACCGGTTGTACCAGCTGGATTAGATTCCAGGGCTAGAGCCTGCTGGCTTTAGCCAGCTAGGAGTTTTATTGTTGTTCCAGCAGGGTTGGAACAATGAAGTTTATCCAGGTGATGTTCGGGAAAGAAAAAACAACAATACTTTTAAAAAACAATACCCTGTCTCCACCATCTGGGTTCTTGTTAAAGGATTTTGTCTAAATCCTGGTCAGACCAGAAAAACTAAGGAAAGAACTAAGGAGACTCAGGAATTAGCATCTTCGTCCTGCTGGCGTTCATGGGCCTTAGCTTGGGCACGCCCAGCCCACAAAATAACCAACAAACACTACTTGTAACTAGTACGCCGAAAGGTGTATAATAGCGCCGAGAGGTGCAACTCATCTTCTTTTTCTTTAGGAATCGTTGGGCTCAACTTCCAGTGTCGGCTATTCAATTGTCCGACACTGGCTAAATAGGACTAAACAGGATTTTTGTGTGTGTTGCCAGTTCTGGTCTTTTCCAGAACTGGGTGTGTGTTGTGTGTATTACTTCCAGTGTCGGCTATTAAAATCCGACACTGGCTAAATAAGATTTTTGTGCGTGTTGCCAGTTCTGGTCTTTTCCAGAACTGGGTGTGTGATGTGTGCATGGCATGCGCACACCCAGCCCACAGCACCCAGCACCGGCACCCGGCACAGTTGACAAAGCGTCAGACCAGAAAAACTAAGGAAAGAACTAAGGAGACTCAGGAATTAGCATCTTCGTCCTGCTGGCGTTCATGGGCCTTAGCTTGGGCACGCCCAGCCCACAAAATAACCAACAAACACTACTTGTAACTAGTACGCCGAAAGGTGTATAATAGCGCCGAAAGGTGCAACTCATCTTCTTTTTCTTTAGGAATCGTTGGGCTCAACTTCCAGTGTCGGCTATTCAATTGTCCGACACTGGCTAAATAGGACTAACCAGGATTTTTGTGTGTGTTGCCAGTTCTGGTCTTTTCCAGAACTGGGTGCGTGTTGTGTGTATTACTTCCAGTGTCGGCTATTAAAATCCGACACTGGCTAAATAGGATTTTTGTGCGTGTTGCCAGTTCTGGTCTTTTCCAGAACTGGGTGTGTGATGTGTGCATGGCATGCGCACACCCAGCTCACAGCACCCAGCACCGGCACCCGGCACAGTTGACAAAAGCACGTCAGGCACACAGGAAATCTATTTTTTCAAGAATTTTATCCAGCTATATTGTGCGAACATGTTTACCCAAGTGGCGCTGAATATTTTTTACGGTCCTACGTACGGCCCAGGGTTGGCACTGACATTTTTCCAGGAGAAATATCCAGCTGAGACCTAGGTCCCAGGAATCCGATCTGGATAAATCTATGTGCCTACCCCACCTATGCATGTCAACCGGGGATCTTGATGCACCTGAGAACATTTGCCGACTTGTGTGCAGAGGCCCAGATGCCGGCGATGCAGAGTTGCCCTCAGCAAGGGTGGAGTGAACCATATACATACAGAATCTGTATTCTATATAATTGGGCAGGCCAAAGTCTAAAGTCGGCCAAAGGTTGTTAGTTTTTGCAGTTTGTACCTCAGCATGTCATGGGTCAGGAGATGTCGGGAGACATGTTGCATCATGTTGCAAACAAGTGAATCTGGAGGGTAGGGAGCGGATAGACCTGCCTTGGAGTAGAGGGTTTGCAGACTCAGTTCCCTCGAAACCGGTGGAATCACTGAGGCCGTCACCGAATGCAACGAACTTCTCCATGCAAGGTGCAACGGACCCTATGGTTCGGCAGCCCAGAAATGGGCAATCTGAACCAATGTGGTAGACATGGTCTATTGGTTTGATCCTTCCTGGAACTCGATCTGGACGTCTCCTGATGTTCAATGCGCACACCCAACATCCCAGACACTCTATGACTCTATATGCCAAGTATGCCTACAATTCCCTAAAACCACCCCAACTGATCAGCATGTGGCATGGAGTGTTTGGGCATGGTGCAAGAACATGTCATCGGCAGACCGTCGACACCACCGTGTGCCGAGCAACGGCAAACACGCAGCGACGGAGCGGACGTGTGCGTCCGAAGAAGGTGAAAGGGAAGGCGCTTCGTGAGAATGAGGTGGATGGAAGGCGTTTCTTCACCATTCATTGGACACAAGTAACAAACTATTCTGAACATCATCATGAAACAGGTTATGATCGAATCAGAAAGACAACCTGTCTCCGTAGTTCTTATATTGTTGGGTGCCATCACGTCCAACCAGTGCCTTCCGGCCATCGCTCCTGCTCTGCCCAACCCGGACGCGCACGCGCCGAGGCAACGCACTTTCATTCGCCCAACCCCTCGACGACGTCGCCGCTTCCCTCGAACTTTGCTGGGGTCCCAGGTCGATTTCTCGAAAGCGAATGTGAAGTAACCAAGTGCGCGACCATTGTTCTCCCCGTGTGTGGACAGGACTCTATTTTGGTGATCAATGCTTCATTAAGGCACTGAGAACCATTTGATCCCTGTCGGATGACCAAACGTGCCACAAAACGAAGTCCTGAAGGTATGGAACGGTATGATTGTTTGATGATTCTTCCTGAAACGGCTCATAAACTGAAACGGCTCAATAGTTAAGTTTATGTGATAAAACCGTGTAAACTCTGAATCGACTCTTCCAAGCTGGAACAGAAACGCTGAAGAAGGCAAGTCGGAGAGAACACATGGGAGACATGCCGTTCGCTCACCAGCTTATCCTATTGCGCACATCAAACTTGATGTCAGTAAACGTCGCAATGAAAAGCTCTCACTTAGGCTCTGAAACCTTCGAATTCAGAGCCTTTCTTTGATTTCTTTCTCCTTGTTTTGTCATGGCTGAATTGGCGTTGGACAATTGAGCAATGATAAGGATAATTATAGGATACATGTTGTTGTTGTTGTTGTTGTTGTTGTTGTTCAATTTTGGGGTTCTTACAGATCAGAATGCTGACGGATTGTGGGGCTACGCCCGAGATCTCGGCGGCTACCCGATCATCAACCTTCCTATTTGGAAACTGGCTCACGGAGGCATAGATCGAACAGTTGATTGAATGCTGCAATCCAATGAAAAGGAATCAAGGGACCGGGCTTTGAGATCTAGCCAATGCAATTTGAGGTAGAAGACTATAGCTAACCTCACTTCTCTCAATGGTCAAATACGGCTCGCTTTGGCCGTGCTGCTGGCCTTGCCCCATGCTGCTTGCCACTTTTGGGCTGTCATATTTGTTCAATCAGCCATGATAACCGATATCTTCAAGATCACCAACCAATCCATTCAAAATGTTCAATGCCCTCTAAAAGAAACTCCCAAAGATTTGGTTTTCAGCTGCCCCAACTCTTAAAGTGTGTTTGTTACAGTTGGATTAGAGTGAGTGAGTTAGAGAGAAATAGAGTGAGTTAGAGTGAGGTTCGAGTGATCTAGAGATGCTTAGATGTAGCCAAGTTGTGCCTCACATGACATTTGGGCACAAACACGTTGCATGAAAATGTATGAACAGTTCGGGTGCTCGGGCATCATATGCCGTTACCAGTGCCGTTACCTATGCCTATATCAAAGGACTCATCCTAAGTCAGTGGGTTTCTTTGGCAATATTCTTGATGTGTACAAGTCAGGTGCTACCGGGTTTGCTCGCTGCTGCCCTGCGCCTGAGGCACAGCAGTTTCATGCGCCCAATCCAACACAGCTCGCTTCACCGCTTCCCTCGGTGACGTCGCCCTCTCCTGCACGGAGCCCCTTGCAGTTGCGGAGGGCAAAGTGAGGCCGTTGGCTTTGTGGTTTTGAAGGTCAAGGTGACTGGACCAGGTATGAATATGAGTGGCTCAGATCATGCCTTTTTTGCCGGCGCGAAACCAGCGCGAAACCGGGCGCGCTGTATCTCCGACCGAGGCCCTCACCCAAGCGCAGGTCATGGCTCAGATGATAACGCAGGCGCATGGAAACCCACATGGCCAAGCGCACGCGGCAGCCCACATGATGCAGGCGCGCGGGAGCGGCAACGGTCATCCAGGTTCCAGGATCAGCTTCGGCCCTATGGAAGAACTCGATCAGTGTCCTTATGGTTGCTATGGATCGTATGGTATGGTAGGCCCAGAACTACTGCTGCGCCTTGAATTCCCCACAGCTTTGGTTCGCCAATCCAAGCCTGCCAACCATGTGACAGCCGTGCGCAGGTGCTTGGAAACCCACAGGGCCAAACGCAAGCTGCAGCCCAGATGATCCAGGCACAATTCTACGACCATATGTAGGAATTGGATTTAATGTCCTTCATTGGTTGTGCTGGATTGGGTTTCAATCGTGTGCACGAACACGAAACTCCAATATGCTCGATATGCCTTTGCTGGATAATACTTCCAGGATGAAAAAACATGATATCGATGTGGTTGCGCAAGGCTGACGCAACCACGTTGCATCGACTTCAGATAGAACAAGTAATTTGATCCCCAATTTGTTTTGAAAAAACACATGTTTTGGACACCGTGCCACGATCTCTTTGGTGCTCCACATGGCCATGGCCGCCGTCGGAGGGCCGGAGGACCTATTACCGTTGGTATTTGAACGTTGGGAGCTTTGTCGGTGGACCAAGTTGGACGTTTGTCAGTGCACAATTTGTTTGAGAAAGGCCTTGTTTGCATTTGTTTGCTAGGAGCATCATCCACGCCCAGGGAATATGATATACATACCTGACCAGAGAGCATGGAGCACTTGCTTCGGCCTGGTGGACCCAACGACGCCGCATCGAGTGGGACGGGACTGACAATCGATTTGCCCAGGGTTGGACGCATGGCGTGGAAAACACCACGGTGCAGGTCATGGCCCAGCAGCAAGCAGCGCAGGTGGCTCAGGCATGTGATCGCTCAGGGCAGCTCAGGGTGTTCGTCGTGACTGCCTCAAAGTTGGAAGAAGCGACCCCAAAAAACATCAGCATGGTACCAGCACCACCCAGTTCAGATGGCTATTGGATGGCAAAGTCCACGGTTTAGTGGGAGTCTAATAATCTGCCCTGATATTTACGTAGGACCTGAATGACCTTTATGTTTGGACCACCAACCATCCAAAGCATGAATTTTTCATGTTCTTTCCTGTTCAACCAGGGGTCAATTGGGTTCTAAGTTCTTTACGTCGTTGTGTTTTCTGAAGTGCATTTATGTTCGCAGGACAGAACTTACAGACCAGGACGTGGTATTTGCATTCAAAAAGGGCCATGGGCCACTATATATAAAGATCTTTCATTGGAAAGAACATGGTTTCAAGATGTAACAAGTCAAAAACAGGGTCAACATAGTAGTCAGCACCAAAAGTCAAAGTCCCAAAGAGTCAAATCAGAACGTTTCAGAAAGTCAGGAAAAGTCAATTGGCCCAAAACCGACTCTTTTGTTTGATTTATGTTGACTCTGTTTTTGACTTTATCGATTGGTTTTCCAAGTTTGACTTTTTAAACTTTAAACAATTTCTTTTAATGATTTTGTGTTGGTTATATGATGTCCCCTGCCACCAGAAGCTTGGAATCATGTTGTGTTTGCTTGAAATGGTATGCGTCACGAGGCGCGAGCCCACTAAGACAGTGGCGCGAGCGAGCCCACGGCTAGGCATACTAAGAAAAACTAATACTAAAATGTATGAAATCATCAAGTCACAATTCTCCCCACCAGTTGTTGCTAGCCGATGGCCTCAAACCTTGAGACCTGTCTCTCCCCTCCTTTGTGTTGTAAGAGGCTTGTTTTGCACGCCGACTTCAGCGTCCAAGCTGGGTGATTCTGGAAAAGGGCCAAGCTTGCAACGATGGGTACTGTAGTCCTGATGCGACTGAAGGGATGGTCGCTGCCCGGTTTAGCCTGAGCAAGACAAATTCAGCCGAGAAAACCGACTGTGAGGAAACAGACCTAGCTTTATCACGGCAAGAACGTATGCGACGGAACGAGCTCAGCTAGGACCTCCCAAAGATCTCACAGACAAGGGACACTTACTTGAAGAAGCCTCAGATGTTCTCCATTTTGCACACCCTCCCCGGCAAAAAACACGTCTACTGGTGTGCAGAGGCCCAAATGCCGGCGATGCAGTCTGGCCCCCGGTGAAGGTGGAGTGAAGTAGAGTCAGGAGACGTGTTGAATCATGTTGTAAACAAGTGAATTTGGAGGGTGAGGAGAGGATAGACCTGCCTAGACTGGAAGCAGTATGAATCCAGGCCGACTCCAGATGGAGGAGTATGGTCCGAGGTCAGGGTTTGCCAACTCAGTTCCCTCCAGAGAAACCGATGGAATCACTGAGGGCGGCACCGAATGCAACGAACTTCTCTATGCAAGGTGCAATGGACCCTATGGTTCGGCAGCCCAGAAAGGGGCAATCTGAAGGCTTACTCGATTGGCAGTGGCCCTTCGAGAGGAGCGTATGGGTTCTTTCAGATTGCTTTTGTTGGATCAGACAGCTTGTTATTTTCTTGAGCGTGTTCCACTGACCTTAATTGTTGGTGATCAATGTGATGTTACTACCAACCACCCCTTGACGAGTTGATGTCCAAGTCTATGCTGTGTTCGAAGTCTTGCGCTCCCTGGAACTAACATGCAAGTGGATCGCATGACCCCTTTGAAGGCGTTTTCCCTTGCAAACAAGGGATGTTCATAGATTTTCTACTTCCATGTTCACCGTGGGGAGGGTAGTTCCCGGAATTCCCATCATGCTGCCTACCCGTCCACAGCTTCTTCCAGTCGGACGCATCATGACGCATCTGACAAAACCCGATCGCTGACAGATCCTGTGGCTTTGCAGAAACTTGCAGCTCTTTTTCATTTGGCACCTTATTACTATATAGCATCCTTGCCACCAGTAGCGATGCCAGCCCCGAACGTAGCGTCCTTGCTAGTGGCATCTCACTCGTTTGACTCCAACGACCAATGACCTCGGACCGACATGGCCGCTCGTCGCACGTCCGCACGTGCTTTTGCTGCACCGCGTGAGGCAGCAGCCTCCTTTCAGTCGCCCGTGGCGTCGCCCAATCCCTTTGCCGGGCGTCCCAGCTACCTGGGCCACGTGCCGGAGTGATATAGGGCCCTATAGGGCTCTTGGCCCACATTTTGAGAAGATGGGACTGGATGGGTGGGGAGGTAACTACCTTCTGAGGATGTGGGTCGCAACTGGGATCGACCGGTGGACCGAAAATGATCCGAAGAGCTGGCCAATGGGAACGTCAAGCCCGGGTGAAACGGGTTCTGGGTTTTGACCCACAGCCATATTATGGGTTTTTTCTTTTAATGTGTCCAGTTTGTGTAGGACTGGGATGTTTGACTTAGGCGAAGCATTCCCCCAAAGCCCAAAGCTTAACCTCTGAAAACGCTTCTACTTTAGTCTTCACACTGCGCGAAGCATACCCCATACTCAAACATCCCGGCCCAGGAACGGCACAAAAATACAAGCCCAATGCATATATAGTTTTTCAACATATTACTATATATAATTTAATATGTATATATATTGGATTATATTGGGTGTGTTTTTTACCTGCAACGGGGAGGGTAAACAAGAACATCACTATTCTAGAGATGTCCGCCTGTACTAACCACCATCGTCCGCTGTTGCTGGCAATATATATATATATACTTGCAATATACTTATAACATGTACACCCTGGAAGACTAGCATGGACCCTGAAAACCCCTGGAAGCTATATGAAAGACGTTAACCGCCGGAACACAACTTTAATTTTAGGGTTGCTACTTCCTTTTCATTTGTGGTGTTTATGGTATCTTCCATCTATAATTTATTCAGGAGCTAATATTAATTCTATCTTACAGACAACTTTCTATTAATTAATTACTTAAATTATAGGATTTTAATATTCTATTTCTTTCATTATTTATATTTCTATTATTTATAATTAAGAACCTATATAATTTAAACCTTACCTTAGGGCCCAACGTTCTACCTTTATTGGAAATTATATTCACCCATATATTTTAATCCTAGAACCATCTTCCTGCGGGTCATTGGTCCGGTCTATGTGAGTTTTCCGGAGCCCATTGTAATGCATTGTGCAGCTATATGCATATATATATATATGTACATATGTATTCATACACCTTGAACCTGCATGATCCCCAGCCATCGATAACAGAGGTCAAATGGGTTCTAGGTGTGTGTGTGTGTATATGTATATGTAGAGAGAGAGAGAGAGATGTTGTTGGTGGTATGACCCTGGAACTCACATGAATTGCAACGCAGATCTGGATGACTCGGCCAGACAAGAGTGGCCAAACCAAGCATGATCACGCCTAGCAGAGGAATACGATCCAAAGCTGCACGACCCAGAACCATGCTAGCCAGAGGGAATGTTGGGTTTGAAGACTTTTGCTACCCACTGTGTAGTAAATTTGTTTGGGCTCCGAAGGGGGCCTGTTGGTTCTCAAGGCTGGCCATCAATTCTGTGGACAGGACTCTGACTAAGCCCTAAGCATTGTGATCAATGCTTCATCCCGTTCCCTGTCGGATGATGCAACGGAATGGTTTTTGGGGGCCTTTCGGTCCCAGAAAATCAAATCTGAATCAGTTCATAGACTGCAACTGAATCATCAATTTAGAATGATCACATTGGAGACGTGCCGCTGCCCAACTATATTCTTTGCACACATCGTGTGTTTGTATTGGATGCCGCAATGAGAAAGGTCTCACTATACATAAACATGTGTTGGCCTTCTCTTCGGGGCCTTTTGTTTTTTTGTTTCTTTCTCCTTGTTCTGTCGAGACTGAATTCCTTTGCAGATGGTTTCCTCAGTGGATCCTGGTGAAACTACTGGCAGATTCTGAGGATAGGCGTGGGATCGGGAGCAGCTAACTCACCTAAGCAACCTTCCAATTTAGAAACTCAAGGCTCACGGGGTCATTCTTTGCAAGCAATGCTTGACTTTCGAACTCCAATGAGCAGGAATCAGAGAGAAGGGGTTTGAGTTATTGTCAAAGAACGTTCATCACTTAGAGAACTACCTCAGTTTATGAATTGTCAGATGCAGCTCGCTTTGGCCATGCACTACCGGCTTTGCCCCAAATCTACACCACTTTTGGGCTGTGTTCAATCGCCGTGGCGTGACAAGAGCCATGATGACCGCTATCTTCAAGATCACCAACCAATCCATTCAAAATGTTCAATGCCCTCTAAAAGAAACCCCAAAAGATTTGGTTTTCAGCTGCTCCAACTCTTGAAGTGTGTTTGCTACAGTTGGATTGAGCTAGAGAGAATTGAGTGAGCCAGAGCTAGAGTGAGCTGGAGTGGGGATAGAGTGAGTTAGAGTGGGGTCGAGTGATCTAGAGATGCTTAGATGTGCTTAGAGCCAAGTTGTGCCTCACATGACATTTGGGCACAAACACGTTGCATGAAAATGTATGAACAGTTGGGATGCTCGGGCATCATATGCCGTTACCAGTGCCGTTACCTATGCCTATATCAAAGGACTCATCCTAAGTCAGTGGGATTCTTTGATTCTTTGGCAATATTCTTGATGTGTACAAGTCAGGTGCTACCGGGTTTGCTCGCTGCTGCCCCGCGCCTGAGGCACAGCAGTTTCATTCGCCAAATCCAATGGCTTCGCCGCTTCCCTCGGGGACGTCGCCCTCTCCTGCACGGGGTCCCTGCATGGTTGCGCAGGGCAAAGTGGGGTGGAAAGGTGTAGTTTTTTTGGCGTTGTGTTTTTGGAGAGGACTTAGGGAAACAAGATACCAAGAAAACGTAGGACGTGAAAAAGGAAGATCTTATGCAAGAAAAAACAGTGTTTTCTGAAGTGTGTGTTTTGGATCTGACTGCACGCACCTGAATTTCGGAAACAAAGTCACCGAATGTCGACCTCACCAAGAGAACTTTCACCCGGATCGAAAGTGAGCCTTCAAAATGCAGCTGTGAGCCTAAGAACTCACAATTTGTTCAGTCGGCAGGGGTGCAAAAAAAGCCAGGTGGTTAGTACGGATTCCGTACGGGTTACATATGGGTTCTCGAAACGCACTGTGTTTTGGAGGGGCCGATCGAAAATGCGGGTTCCGTATAGGTTAGTACGGGTAAAGTACGGGCTCCGTATGTAGATTTGTTTTATGTTTTCGGTCAAGTCACCCTCCAAATTCCCCCAAAGATCTTCAAAGTGAAAGAATCGTAAGAATGGTCGACGTTTGGTGGCTTGTGGATTTTAAGATCCCACGGCACACACCTGAAAGCAAGACCCGGAGACATGTGTTTGTTTGTGCTAGCCGGGGGCTGTTCTTCAGTGGTTTTACCAAAAGACGATGTTTTTCGAGAGAAGACGATGTGTTGATGTTGAAAATCAAGGTGACTACGAGTGGCTAAGATCATGCCCTTTTCGCGGGTAGCGTAACCGGCGCGGTCTGCAAGAAGGGTGCACTGTCAGACCAAGCCATCTCCTCCGACCGAGGCCTTCACCCAAGCGCAGGCCATGGCTCAGATGATAACGCAGGCACATGGAAATCCACATGGCCAAGCGCAAGCTGCAGCCCAGATGATGCAGGCGCGCGGGAGCGGCAACAATGCGCGGTTCCAGCATTATTGTTGACCATTATGTAAGAATTGGATCAATGTCCTTCAATGGTTGCAGGATGTATTAATTATATAGGGTTTCAACCATGTGCACGAATACGAATCTCCAATATTCTCGATGTGCTTTTATCTGGCACTGGATAATACTTCCAGGATGGTTTGCAGCTCAGATGATATTGCAGGCGCATGGAAACCCACAGGGCCAAGCGCAAGCCGCAGCGCAGATGATGCAGGCGCGTGGGAGCGGACAGGATGTGCGAAGGTGAGGTAGTCGCTTCGGAACGCAGAAAAACCATCGCTTCCAAAGTGAAATACCTAAAACTTGTGTTCCAAAGTGACTCTCCCACCATGTGCGAAGGTCCTTCCAAGATGTGCGCGTCGACTTCAATGCTTGTGCTGGATGCATTTAAAGGCTTACGCCTGACAGCCGGGCACTGGTCGCCCCGAATGTAAGAGGAAGCAGGAGTGGCAGGATGGAGGGGAGCACCGGCTTGTTGTCTCTGTTTTTTTTTTTGCTTTCGCCCTGGCTTTCTCTCGTTGTTTTTCTTTCTCTCTTGTTCTTTCTTTCCCCTTCTCCTTCTCTTTCTTTGTCTCTTTGTCTCTTTTTCTTTTTCTCTTCCTCTGCTCTTCCTTTTCCTCTTCCTCTTCCTTTTATCTTCCTTTTCCTCTTCTCTTTCGCTTTTGCTCTTTCTCTTTCCCTTTCTCTTTCCTTCTCTCCTCTTCCTCTTGCTCTTGCTCTGTCTCCGTCTCTCTCTCTCTCTCTCTCGCTCTACACACCCTGCTGCTATGTTGGTGGCTGGTTGCAGACGGATCGCTGGGTGCCCGGATTAGAAAAGAGGAAGCTGGAGGAACAACTAGCCACTCCACATTCAGGCCCTGAGGGTGTGGTGTTTTAAGGTTCATCAGCTCTTTGGTACGGATCTAAAGAGCTGCCGGGTCCTTGCTGGTGACTTAGCCAACGCAGCTCCGCAGCGTACAGGTCATGACGGCTCAGCACCATGCGCAGTCTGCGGCTGAGGCGCGTTGGAACATTACCGCCTCCGTGAAGAGGGAAGTGATCGGCAAACATGAGAGATGGAAAACATTGGAAAACTACAGCATGCATAGTGCCTTATTGGATGGCAAAATGCATGGTTTGGGGATGCCACGTTTTAGCAACGGTTTTGGTGGTGGTGCAGCGGCGTAACAGCATATTAATTAATCACACATGCCTTGCCAAAGTCACTCCCCGTAATAGCGGCGGTATATAAGCTCCACAACCAGCCACTCCACAGACATTCAGGCCCTGAGGGTGTGGTGTTTTAAGTTCATCAGCTCTTTGGTACGGCTCTAAAGAGCTGCCGGGTCCTTGCTGGTGACTTAGCCAACGCGGCTCCGCAGCGTACAGGTCATGTCGGCTCAGCACCATGCGCAGGCCGCGGCTGAGGCGTTGGAACATCACCGCCTCTGTGAAGAGGGAAGTGATGGGCAAACATGAGAGAGGGAAAACATTGGAAAACTACAGCATGCATGGTGCCTTATTGGATGGCAAAATGCATGGTTTGGGGATGCCAGGTGTTAGCAACGGTTTTGGTGGTTTGGCACCGAATATGCAATTGGTTAAATTGTGGGGCACACATTTAACATAGCGCAACAAGCGTTCAAAGTATGTCGGCCCGCACCGGCACTCCAATACACCGATCCATGAGTTTGTCGCTTTGAGATGTACACGAATCCATCGGTCTAAACGCGAGATATATGACATGTTTGCAGCAACATGCTCCTGCATGTGGAGCCTTTTTGTTGTTCAGCTTAGAAGTCAATATTGTCGGAGTGGCCTAGCGGGAGAAGCAACGCCACACAATTCAATCACGTCGGCGTGTAAAGTATTGCGCAGCGGCTTATGCAGGTTTAATAACGTGACGGTAAGGTGGGTTCGGGGGCTTTTCACAAGGGCTTACTGGCAGCCATGTGGCCTCAACCACATTTGTTTCGCAATCTGGCTGAAAATGTTTTGTTTCCTCACAGCGTTCCAATCGTCGGGGCTGCGTTTTGCACTTGAAGTTGAAAGCAAGCGCCAGCGAGCTGACCAACAAACCGAACATGCACTGCATTGCTCATGTGTGGTCTTGTGTCCGATGGAGGTCGAAGCATTCACGAAGGTGACGAGATGAAAGGGCGTGGCTGGATTAGTTCTAATTTCAACCACCTTCAAACTGCAACAGGCTGTGAAAAAGAAAGTTGCATGTGGCATGTGGAAGGTGGTGCAGTTTGCAGCGTACATGCCTTGTCGAAGTATCGGCGCAATGGGGTATACCGGCTTATCAGCTCATATGCGTTGCCGAAGTCACGGTGCAGCGGCGTAACAGCATATTAATCACACATGCCTTGCCAAAGTCACTCCCCGTAATAGCGGCATATAAACTCCACAACCAGCCACTCCACAGACATTCAGGCCTGAGGATGTGGTGTTTTAAGTTCATCAGCTCTTTGGTACGGCTCTATAATGAGCTGCCGGGTCCTTGCTGGTGACTTAGCCAACGCAGCTCTGCAGCGTACAGGTCATGACGGCTCAGCACCATGCGCAGGCTGCGGCTGAGGCGCGTTGGAACATCACCGCCTCCGTGAAGAGGGAAGTGGAAAACTACAGCATGCATGGTGCCTTATTGGATGGCAAAATGCATGGTTTGGGGATGCCACGTTTTAGCAACGGTTTTGGTGGTCTGGCACTGAATATGCAATAGGGTTAAATTGTGGGGCACACATTTTCCATACTGCAAAAGGCGTTCTAAGTATGTCGACCCGCACCGGCACTCCAATACACCGATCCATGAGTTTGTCGCTTTGAGATGTACGCGAATCCATCGGTCTAAACGTTCGAGATATATATGACATGTTTGTAGCAACATGCTCCTGCATGTGGAGCCATTTTGTTGGCATATAAACTCCACACCAGCCACTCCACAGGCATTCAGGCCCTGAGGAGTGGTGTTTTAAGTTCATTAGCTCTTTCGTACGGCTCTAAAGAGCTGCCGGGTCCTTACTGGTGACTTAGCCAACGCAGCTCCGCAGCGTACAGGTCATGACGGCTCAGCACCATGCGCAGGCTGCGGCTGAGGCGCGTTCGAACAGGCGATTCAAGAACAACTGGAACATCCTGCAACAGCAAAACAACTCCCGTAGATCTAATGGAGATTCTTGATTGCAAAACACCCTATTTGAGTTGAAACACCTCTTCATATGGAGGGTTTATTCATCAAGAGTCTAGATTCTACACTATAGATGTCGTTGCTCCAGTTGTTGGAACCACTTGGGTTGGCCCTGGATGAGTTTTTCCAGAGAGAAAATCCCTAACTCATCGACGATCCACAACCTTGTTCCAGCTGTGGTTCGTTCGCTCAGCCGTCTCGAAAGCCGTCGAAGATGACTGGATGTTCGGGACGCGCGACACGGTGCCCATTGGAGAAACGTTGGCAAAGACGTTGGCACCATCGACTGGTGCCCACCCCAAGAAACGACATTGTGCAGAGGCCCAGATGCCGGCGGCAATGCAGTCTTGACCTCGGCCAGGGTGGAATGAACCACGGGGCCAGGGCAAATCATGATTTTGATTCTTATATTGTTTTAAATTGTGGGGTGGGACACTGATTTCCTGATTAGCAGTTTCCTGATTAGCATGGGTCAGGAGATTAGGTCTGACATGTTGCCAGGTTGCATCATACGAATGTTGCAAGAAACACTAGAATGACCGAAGAGGTGGCCATGGTGCGATGTGGTGCGATGGAGTCTGGGTGTGGACCCTTTGCAGATGCGATTCTGATTTAATGCTCCCAAAACATGCCTTCAAAGCATGGGATTCCACAAAAGTTGGGGCGAGGATGATCATGATAGGCAAACAGCGTGAGTTCCCCACATACCCAAACGCTCCATGGATGGCACGCGCAATCACACACAAAACATCAATACCAAACTCGATCTACACAGGATCTACTGCACATGCCAGTCGATCTTCGTGGGTCCAAGGCCGGCCTCGGTGAAAGCCCCCACCCCGTGGGAGTCGACGGCCTGGGTCGCCCAAACGGGTGGGACGGAGGTACTGGTCGTCGTACCTGCCTGGCTTGAGGGATCCGGTCGTAGCGAGTTCCCTCATGAGTTCGGTACGACTGGACCCGACCCTGGCACCTACAGATCTGTCGAACAGGTACGACTGGATCCCTAAATCTGGGAAAGGATTCAGGGTTTCTTCCACACAACTCGGGAAGGGATTGAGTTCATTTTTGGGGTTCTTCCACACGTGTAGACGGGTTGAACACGTCATGGATTTTTGTTGGGGTGTGGGGCGTCAGACTTGGAGATCTCAGGGTGCTCGATGCATGAAAGCTGACTGCATAGTAGCTCCTGGCATTAACAAGCTACGCACGTAAGAAAGGGCATCGCACTTTAGTAACAAGTACGCTACTAGTAACAAAGGCAGTTCAAGAAAGTTTCAGATCCGATGTGCGATGCCTATTAGTTATACCATGGGTATGACCCCACAAGCATGTCGTCTTGTGGAGCACATTTCATGGGGTGGACAAATGGATCCACATACCCTTTGAGAAGGTATGTGGATCCCACCTTTATACAAGTTTATACCTCGAACATTGCCAGGCTTTTGCGATGTTTCAAAACCCCGCAGGAGTGGCCGCATTGGGCAGTTGTCAAAGCGTCAGATGTGAACGTGCCTAAGCAATCAAGAGTATCCAGGCAAGGGAATCAACCTTCAGCCCTCGATCGGGCCACAGTGCCTGGACCCAACCCCCGGACCCCGGACGCCCCGCGGCGCTCACGCGGCATCACGCGGCATCGCTTCCAATGGCGCCATCCATTGAACCGCCAGCTGGCCACAAACATCCAACATAAACATGTGGCCCACTCCGACGACTATACAAACACCCCCAAAACACCCCAGTAAACACCCCCAAACTTGGCCACAACAATCCTTTGCCAAACTATCTTGAGGTCGGAACCAGGATTCTGGATTTCCGCCACAATTCCGCCAGGTGTTGGGTTTCTGCATGGAACTTCCTTCGAATCCACCAGATCTGTTTGGTTTTCGGTCGCCCCGCCGCCGTGCGAAGGGGCGGCGCACCCGGCGCCCGAGAGAGGCACCGAAGTTTCCGCCGCCGCCGCTGCCACAGCCGCAGCCGCCGGCGCCACCACAGCCAAAGTCCAACAAAGACCGCGTGGCCCGGCAACCCGGTCCAACATCCTGCCGAAAGAGTTTCCAAAAGGGGCTGAGGCGTGAATTCTGGGGGCGCGTCCAAGTTGGGCGAATTTGGGGTTGAGAAGTGGCCTGCGCTTGCATCCAAATGGTTGTGCACAAGGATCTCCACAGTCGTGACGCTGGTGGGGCCTGGAAGGCCTTCAGATAACTTGAGATCTCTTAGAAGATCGAGATTGAAAGGATGTTGCAGCCCATGTTGACAAGTTCCATATAGACCCAGGAAGGCCGCATTTACAAGGATAGGGAGAAACCAATTCATTCAACATGTTCTTCATTTTTATGCACCAAAACGGCATTTGCCTGTGACTTGTGTGCAGCGGCCCAGATGCCAGCAGTGGCGATGAAGTCTTGCCCTCAGCGGCGAGGATGGAGAAAACCACAGAGCAAATCACACGCAGAAGGTGCTCCAGCACGGATGAGGATATTGATTTACTAAATGCAGCCCAATGGTGCTTTAAAACTTTTTGTTGGCATGTGTTTGCAGTATTTCTTCCTTAGCATGTCATGGATCAGGAGCCTTGAATACGTGTTGCCCCTGAAACGTGTGAATGGGGGGCTGGAAGGTACACCTTCTTGGTCTTCGGGGAGTGAACTGCCCAGATTGGATCAGTGGATTCTGCATGATTTGCTTCGACATGAGCTGCATTCGGTTCTTCAATGCGAGCTGCGTTCGATTTCGGATTGACGCCACCTTCTTGGAGAGGGGATTGAACAGAGGGTCACGGTGAAGAAGCTGGGTGAGGGTGGGTGGGCATTTTTCATGTATGACAACATGTCTCAACCGAAAAGAACTGCAGACTTGGTACTGACCTGTGGGTTTCACATAGAAGTTGAAATGGAGTTGAACATCACTTGAATCCCCCAACCGCACTTCGTGTGATTTCGGCACGTCGCTCCCCGTCGCTCCCCCCAACATGGCCGGCCACCTGGGTGGCCCGTGGCCACCCGGCACCGCGCCGGCGCTTCGAGGCCCACGTGGAATTCCACAAGCACAGGACCAAAAGCAGCGTAGCCGCAGCGTAGGATCCAGGAAATTTTCGCCTCAGGTTCGGTATCGTGTCGAACACATCACCTTCTCACAGAGAGTATTTGGACCGACCCAAAGGGCTTTATATCACCATTTGGCGCCCGGGAGTGAGTACCCTGGCACCCACCATCGCTGACGACACACTCCATAGGGGAATGTGGACCACATGGACCGAAACCGCAAGTGGAGTCGGGTATCAGTGGCAGTGACCGTTTTCAGTTGGCCCCCGGCTCTGCGGCATGCCTGTCCCTTTATTTTTTGAGGGCAGACTTGTAACACGGAACGGGCTGGGCCCCCAAAGTGCTTCTAGGGTTTGGGGCAAAGTATCAGACTCAGGAAACTGTTAAACTGATGGTTGTTGGGGTGGTCACAAGGTGGCCTGTATAAGATGGAGGGATGAGGTCTCCGCCCGTTCAAGACATCGGCCTTCTACCGAAACGGAGTGGTCCACGGAGATGGAGGACGGGTCGACCAGAAGGGTCGGTACCTGGCGCCAATGACTCTGTTGGGGGGTATGAATGGAGGGCCGAACTCAGATCGTCTAACTGCGGGGAGTGATAGTATATCACTTCAAGGGCATAGGGGGTGGTATAGGAATCAGAACATGTGCGAACGAAAGGTGTGTGGTTTCACCACACTTCGCCTGTTCTCATCCCAAGGCACCTCGCCAGATCGACCTGCCCACACCGAAGACCCGCACGGCGCGCCGGGTTCGTACCGGTCACTTCTGCGTTATCCGCTGCGATCAGCAGTGTAGACCACCTGAACCTGATCCATCCTGATCCTTGAGTTCTTCCCTCGCCCAGACATGACTCACATGGGACTGGACGTACGTCGGACCCCGCCGGTTTTACTCCCAAACTCTTCGCGGAAGTTCCAGCTTCTTTTTTGGGGGGAAGCCAGAAGTGTGGCCGAGCATGGCCTCATTCCATGCGGGAGCGGCCAGCGACTTTGCAACATTTTGTAACTACGAGCAACGTTCTAAAGAGTCTGTGCACAAATCTCTACCTGAGAGGAACATAGAGGGACCAATTCCTACAAGTCAAAGGCCTCATTGTACTGGTACTGGAGATGATCATACTGTGGTAAGGCGGGCAAGGGCGGCACGAGCAGAGGCTCATGGCTTTGACAACTACAAGTTCTGCTGCAGTTGCTGTTTCCTGTGCAGCTTCTCATTGTTGGCTTCTATTGGGCACTCTTCTTTGTCGGAAAGCAACTTTCAGACACTACAGTTCAAAATGCAATGGCTTTCGGGCACTCGGGCGGCACCCGAGCCGCTGCCCAAAGGAATGGAGACCTCAACTGAAGCGAGAAGCACCTTGGCAACCACTGCGGGACAAACCACCGCTGTGCAGACCACCACGGCTGTGCAGACACAGGTTTTGCTGGGTCAGACTGGATGACGGTCAGACTGGGCGCCCTGAGATCATCCGATCGGATCTAACCGCTCGAGTTCCTTCCACGAATGCGGGGGGCGGCGAGTTGTGGCCTGGGGTGGCTTGGGGTGAAAGGCCCCTGAACATGGATATAACTGAAGTAGCTACTGTCGGACGTCCAAGCACTTCGGTTCCAACATGTCCAAGCACTTCGGTCCTTGCCCCTGTCCGACCGGCTCCTGCGAAAAACGTATCGGGACCTGGGAGAAGTGTTCAACGTGGTGAACTTGGCCTTCCAAAGGTTCGGCATATTTTGTTGACATAGTAACAAGAAGCTACTGGGGGCTCCTGGCATCGCCACTAGGAGCACGGATGCTACTAGGCGCTCCTGGCCGTACTACTAGGAGCTAGAAGCTACTAGTAACAAAGGGCATCGCTACTGGACCCGGTCCGGAAGGGTCCTCTATACCTGGAAGTTCGAGTCTGAAGCCACCCAAAACCCAGACAAAAAAGCCACGCAGTTTTGGCGGATGTTTGGGCGGAATTGTCCAACATTTTTTCCGGACTCACTCATCCCGGAACTGCTTGGACCCACTGCCCCACTCCCCTCATCCCTCCAACAAAGTCTCATCCCACTGCCCCCACTGACCCCACTGACCCCGGACTGCTTGGACCCCCACAAAGGCCCTCAGTCCACCCGGTCCGGTCCACCGTGTCGTCCCAGATGCCTTCGGAGTCAGCGGGACCGTCCGCGTCCGCGTCCGCGCGGGGGCACCGAGCGGAAGAAGGTCGGGACGACTCTTGAGGTTTTGCACCCCCCATGTGAAGAGGTTGTTCAATTCAAATGGGTTCGGTATAATCATTAATTAAGAGGTTGTTCATTGTACTGGT